TCACCTACATCGTCCATATAGGACGACTCGGGAACTCAACTCCTACCCCGGGCAGCTCACCTATCCCCTTATGCCCAGGGGAAAGGTATCAAGCCGTTTGACAGCTGATGCTAGCTGTCAAACCGGCTTTTACGCGAAACAGGCGGGAGGCAGCAAACAGCTGCGACCGACGAAGACGCCTGCCACCGGAAGTCTCCTTTCTTTGGTTTCCTTTTCATCCTAGTAAGCATCTATTTTAAATGGTGGGGTTTTTTTTATGTTTCTGTGGACTTATTCTCATGAGCTGCTCAGAGTTGCTTTTTAAGCCCACACAGATCTTTTAAATGAATAAATATTTATTTACTCATATTATTTTAGACTTTGAGTTAGGTCAGAGGCAAAAATATGACATAAAAGGCAACATGTAAAGTGATGAAGGTGAGTTGAGGTGAACATTTTTCTTCTCAAAAGGAAGCACACCATCAAGAGGATAATTGTAAACAAGAACAGTTCTTGGTGTGGATATAACTGGGAGATAAATATATATATGTGCATGGATAGGTGCATTATTATTATTATTAAGCTCACTGTCCTCATCTGTCCAATAGCCAGTTATATGGGTAGATTCTAAATAAATTTAAACCACTAAATTTTTAAAGAGAAATAAAAGCTGTATAATCTTCAAATCAGTAGCAAATGATTAATAAATAAATGGCCAATCCAGGTACCAATAGAATCTATACTTCTTGGGAATTAACATGTTGTGTCCCCCAAGTATCTCCCGTATTACTGATGATTCCCAACTTACCTGAAAACATTCTGTAACCAAAACTATGATTTGATGACCAGTAAAGTGAAAAACAGCAATCAATTTTAAAGATCCATCTAGTGTTCATAAAAGTTACAAAGAGAAGCAAGATGGCATAAAATGCTTCTTCCATAACTGGGGTCCTGCTTTTCTCTGTTTCTTTTTCTTTTGACTATTTGTGCTCCGTTCTATCTTCAGTCTAACTAGTTGAACAAAAAGTAACCAAGATAATACAGGTAGTCTTTGACTTACAAACGCAATTGGGACCAGAATTTCCTTGACTAAACAAAGGGGCTTTAAAGCGAGTTGCATCTGATTTTATGGCCCTTTTTGCCATGGTTGTTAAGAAAATCACTGCAGTGGCAATCACATGAGCCCAGAATGCTGCAATGTCATAAATACATACCAGGTGTCAAAGCACCTGAATTTTGATCATGTGACCATGGGAATGCTATAGTGATCATTAGTGCAAGGACCAGTTGTAGGTCCCTTTTTTCAGTACCATTGTAACTTCAAATGTTGCTAAATGAGCGGTTGTAAATCAAGGACTACCTGTAAGCAGAGGCAAGCTTCTATATTCCCCACACCTACCACTCGTGTCCCGTTTGCTGCCTGAATGAGTTACTGGGTGGTATCAACCTGGCTTCATCAACAGTTCTTTGAGTTATAAACACACGATACGTGTTTTTTGAAGTCATGTCAGAAGCACTGAGGGGCTTCCGGATTGAAAGGATTAGTCCGTGACATCACTGTTGCCCGGAGGACGCTGAATTGGGGGCTCCTTTCATGTCCCCTGCAAGAGCTGAAGTGAAGGACAGGAGCTCAACCCTGCCCCACGGCAGCACTCGGGTCTTGAACGCAGGCTTGCTAGTCTCC